ATTAAAATAAAAGAGATAATACTCTACAATTTGGTCTCACTACAAGAAAATAGTTAATTTCTGACTGATTGTTTCCATAAGAGAAGGTATAATTTCCAGCGAAAATGTCCTTTTTGAATATCATTTTTGCTAGACACAGTACTGTTAGAAACAAATTCTGGCAAAAAAAGCTTTCCATTAGAAAACTTCCAACTAAATAATTCGTCGATAAAAAAAATTTCTGATAGACATCACTTGAATTTCCTTTGGACTTTCTAACAGAAGCAACAAGATTTCAGGCAAAATTTCTAATGAAATCCAATGCAAATTCTGATGAACTTTTCATCAGTCTTGTCTAAAAATTTTGACAGACTTTTTGGCGATTTCCGCCGCAAAGACCGGCAAATTTTTCAACAAAGTTTGCTAGAATTTTTTACAAAATCTCCGGTAGACTTCACCAATACCACTGGAAAACTTTCCAATAACACTCCTGATAGAAAAAATAAAGAAATCCCTTTTATCTTTAATATTATGTCATGTTAACACGTAAAAAAACACGATATAGTAATTATCTGTTTGTAAAATATTACCTTAGAAGCAAATATACAACCCCATTGAATAACATCCAAAATTGAATCAAGATTATATTAATGTATCCCTTTAAGGGTTCACCCCCAACTAGAGAAAACCTAAAGGAACACCAAGATCGCCATGTCAGACCCACTAAACCAAAAATGTAACATGTTCCCCCAATACAACCAAAGCAAAGGCCTACCATGTGGTCCGCCAATAATGTATTGCAACATCAAGCAGTGCTAACACATTTTCCCAACACCAAGATCCCATTGTAAGCAGGCCTAACATGTTGAGTGCTGGATGAATTCTCTGTACCTAACACCCAAATTCTCGTCTAGAACATTTGATTCACTTCTCACATCCAACATTCGCAAGCCAAAAGGGATTGCTTGCCGCCAATTATTTTTGCTTTTAAGATCTTTTCTCCTCATCATCTTATACTCATGTGGGCTGTGATCTCGATATTCCTTTGTCATTCAGAGAAAATGAAGATCAAATGCCACCCATGAAAACCCTTGGTTCCCTTTGAATTTCACTTCCTAGGGTGCAAAATCCATCTGGATAGGCTCACAATTTGTGTTGATCCACCCAATCCAAATTTATAATTGAATATTGCTTCCTGCAACCTCTTACACTGTGCTTCTTCCCATTTGATCAAACGAAGATTGACCATGCTCCAGGCCTATATATAGTACTTCTATGGAGTTGTTAGGTGGGCTGGATACAATAAAGCAAAATAGAGTAATATCCAAATAATATATCTTGACTATATAATATTTTGAATTATTATACTTTATTCAATAAATTTTAAGTTTGGATAAAATATTGAATAAATATATAAATTATCAAAATATCATTTCTATTATTGACAATGGGTGATAACAAGCAACAGTGACTAATGGTTGCAAATAGCGGCTGACGACAAAAGACAGCAATTAGTAGCAAGAGGGGTGACTAGGGCAATGGTGGGCAGTGGCTGGTGTGACACATAGTGGCAGGCAACAATGGCCAGCGATAGGAGTCGATAAGGGGCAATAGTAGTAGGTGGCAATTGCCAATGGTGGCTAATGACAACTGGTGATAAAGAGACATTGGTCGATAATAATCGACAGCAAAAGATAATTTATTTAACTTTCTTATCCAACCTATTGATTATTAAATAAGACTGAACAAATATAGATAATTTATTTTTATCTGCTATTATCCAAACTTCCGAATACAACCTTAAAGGAGATTTATCATCTCTAATATTCATTTCCTCCAGTAAGTAGAAAATCCAATGAACACAAACTATTTCTTGGGTAATTCATTAATTAGTTGTATGTTTTGTAAGAACCCATATAAGTATACCTAGATTAAAAAACACATGACTAATGATTTCTTTAGTTGGAGTATCTTCTCACGAGGAATGGCATTGTTACTTCTAATTACAATGAAGACAGCACATTTCGTTTTCCTCATCTCTTCCTCCACTCAACCCCTATTCCTAGAGATTTGTCCCAGCCTTTTTGGTTGGGTAGAGAGGAATGTCGGTTGATGTTTAACACGAAGCAGTCTTGGGTGCCGGAAGGTACCAGCTGACGCTAGAATTTTCTTATGAAGTGAGAGCCGTAATAAAAGCCCGCCCGCAATTTTTTTACAATAAAGGAAAAGAAAAATATTCCAATATTTTCAACAAAGGACCCAAAAGATAGCAGAAAATATATCAATGATAAAAAATCAGTTAACTCAGGCTCACATCAATACCAGGATGAGACGATTAAAGCGGGAACAGAAGACTCCATCTTAGCCACCTAGTTGAGTTGGAATTTGAATGTACATATATCAAAGTGAATGAGGCTAACCCTAATGTTGATTTGAGCTATCACCATTCCGTTCAGAAAAGTCCGTCGCCATCTGACTGCAAAAGAGGGCACTACTCCCCTCACCTAGAAGATTTTGCAAAACCAGAAACAGGCCCCTAACAATTTCGGATTTGGCTTGATCCCACCAATCCCAATCACTCGAGATGTGGGAATGATTTTGATTTCATGGCTTGATCTTACTACCAAGCCTACCGACCCAGTTAGTTAGGATTCAAGCTCGCCATTCCTCCAGGGTTGTCTCCCCAAGAAACGAAATACCAAAAAGGAAAAAATCTCGAACATATTGTTTTGCCCTTTTATAGTTCGTCTGTTGCAGAAAACAAGCCGGGATGTACTTTAAACAATGTGGAAAAGAGCAGGAAATCATTTACAGAGAATTAAGAGTCTCAACAGAATGCTTCTCAGTGCTTCTCAATTGTCACGTAAGGCTTTTCTTCAACGGACTATTGTGAATTAAAGACGGAAATAGGAATGCTTTCCATGGGAAAGCAAGGATAACTGCAGGAAAAAGTAAATATTTCCTGTGCGAGCTGAAATGTTCGATTGAGAGGATATTATTATCTAACCAGTTATGTGAAACAATTTCCAGAACCGAACTTAGAAGATCGCACAGCACACGGGATGAAAACTCTGCCAGATAAGAACCACACCCTTCCATTTCATCCCTGATATTTATATGCCTGATAAATTAAGTCAAGACAAAAGTATTTGATCCCAAGGAAACACTGGGGAGGGAATAGAACAAGGAGAGAATCTATAATCTGTGGAAGCAGGAGTCATTTGTGGAAAGTGCATGCATGGGATTCCATCATTACATTCACATATCATTTCTTAGAGATAGCAGCAAAAAAAATACCTTGAGGACATCTTACCACCTAACATAAAAGTCCCCCCCCCCCCCCCCCCCCCCCCCCCCCCCTCAAAGTCAGGTCAGTCTTAACCTTCGTCCAAAAGGAGAAGAATCTCAGCTAAGGAGTTAGAAGAACTGCTGCTCATCCAAGCCTAGGATTATGTTAGTCATGGCAAGCTGAAACAAAAGCTCACTCTCAACACATCCAGACCCTAAAAAAAGCTAAATATCAGGTTGCTCACTGCAAGCTACAAGATCTACCAGTTGCAGGAATGGAGGTAGATTGGTGGTACGACTGGTGTACCATCATATTATCGTTTTCAAGTCCATTCCTGATTTTCCACCCTTTTTCACAGTTTGCTCTAACAGATGAACAAGAGAGAGAAATATTTCCATCCTTGTGACATCCCTGTTTGCCTGTATAAAATTCATTACGTTAAGAAAGACTTACAGTTGACTAAAATGTGCAACAAAGGACAAGTCAGAATCCACAATAAGACGTTAATTTTGGTGTGCACAAGATAACACAGGCTCTCTAAGAGCATTTTACAGTGGTACTTGCTTTTACATTATGAAAGGAACAAGGGGAGTGGGGAGAGGAACAAAATGCAGTCACCAAGTAATTTCGAATTAGACACCAAAAGAACGCTGAAAAACATACTGTTTAACACAAAACATGTATAAATGCATCGAACTAAAAGATTGCATATCTAGTCTTATGTACAAATGCGTGTTTCAATAACTTCACCTAAATTATATAACCCCACCAATCACTCTGAAAATACTGTAACATGCTTTGAACATGAATTCTCTTCCCCAAAGGTGTGTGTAACTCTACATCTCTACTATAACAGAAGGAATGTGACATGAATTTTTTACCTTGGAAAATTATGCTCCCTTCTTTAATAAAGATCACTGTCATTCTTGTGTATTGTATGCCTTGTGCAAATATCCCAATGTAAGACATTCACTCTATTTATTCCTCAATATGTTCTTCAAAATTTATTCTCTTTAGTTTATATATTATTGAATTATAGATTCCATACATCAAATATCAAATAATGTAAGAAATATCACTTTCATGGGACCAGCCTTAAGATCAAACCCCCGTCCCATCCCCAAGTCATTTGTATTATTACTTTGCAAAAATATAATCTCCAGCTTTTTCCTTTTTTTTTCCTTATAATTTTCCACCATCATTAATGTGAACTATGACCAAGTTAAAAGTAAGTCTCTAATGGATTCTATTTTATTATATAATTATAAACAAAAATCACAGGTATCTTTGAATAAAATATTTAAAAAATTATTAAAATGGACATTTGCCTGGGTAAGCTTTTAGTGATTAATAATAGGTGCAGAATATCTCTATGATATAAGATCCAATTCTTTTCAACCAAAGATCATATGAACCTACAGGAATCAGTACCCAACATGCTGATTTACGAATTAATATACATGCAATATGTGTGTGTGTGTGTGTGTAATACAAAAAAGTAATAATAATAATAAATACACACGGAACCATAGCAACTAGTAATCAAAATTAATATGTCCACAAAATGAATTTCCAGGTTATATGAGAACAGTTTTTAAGAAAATATTTTCATAATGGCATCATTACTATCATATGTTCCCTTCAAATAAAATATTTGCTTAACACGATATGTAACCCAGGACAATCACAAGATCAACTGTACTTCTTTACTATATCTGTGTTGTATCATAACTCAGAAAATCCAGGATGTCTGCATAATCAGAAATGTCTACATAAAATTACACAACACTATTGATGTAATGGTTTAGGCAAAACATGTGCGAATATAGAAGTGCCATGATGATAACAATATTCTTCATGGTTTTTACCTCGACTGCAAAGCGTGCCCAGATCTTGTCATTCCGGGTTTCCATCACCCCCTTCAAGATGGTCAATCCCAGCCCTCTAATTATATCAGCAATTTCCAAAAATAAACCTCGTTCTTCACAAAGCATCTGTAACAAGAAGCATAATATAGTCAATACCCAATATTACAGAGATAAAACTTCCAAACTTGAAGAGCTAAGCATCACCTCCACAAGCATTTGACGAGGTGGATTCAGATCCTCAACAATAATCGGGCAGACCATAGATTGTGAACCAACTTCATACGCCCATGTTCTTCCTCCCTCATAGTTGTCCTTCAAGACTAAGCCACCATCCTTGCTGATAATCTGCAGTGTCATGTTATAGCATAATAAGGAACTGAGGAGCTTTCTCAAGATCTAACATTTGTTGCATAAGTTACCAGATGATAATATCAGGGTAAATAAGTGCTAATTTATTAAGTGGTTCAGAGAAACAACACCATAAAAATTGATCACTTAGAAAATTCAGACAATAACTTCTTCTAGCAACCTAGCACCCACGAATTCAAATGTTTGTAATACAATGGTATGAACAACAATCTAATCAAAGTCAAACTCAACAAGGAAATGTAATCCAAAAACTGCAGCAAAGTCAGTGGTATTTCCCACACCTTGGAGTCCCCTGTTTGCTTGAGCTTGTCAGCATGTTTGGTGACACTTTGCAAGAAAAGCATATGCTTGATAGTACGTTCCAGGAGAGCATCAATGCTACACTGTTAATTCATATCACAGAAGTCATCAAAATCTGAATAATACAGAATTTAACATGACATATAAATTGAAAATTACTTTTAAGTTTAGAAGACTCACCTTTGCCCCATTTGGTACAATTTCTCTTAACTCCTTCATACGATCTTGGATCATCTGGCGATCTTTGGGCCTGGGTCTAGGGTTCTCACCAGGCTTAAGCCTTTTGCGATTTGATTTACCTACTTCATCAGGCCTTTTAGAATATGCAGTTGAAGAGCTATTGTTCTTCGTACTATGACCCTGTTCTATCCATGAGCTGACATGAGATCCATAAATAGAACTGGTTTGGCTACACTTTCCTGTATCTTCCTTGCTGCATTCAGATTTGAAGGAGCAAGATCCTTCAACCCCTAACTTTGCTAAAGATTTGGGAAGTTCAAATAGCTGTCCTTGCATCTTGTCAGAAACAGAAACAGAAACAGGACCACAGGAGGAGGAAGCATTAATATCAAACGAGGAACTAATCTTCGTTAATGTTGTCCCACAAGACTCACTATAATCATCTGAACTCTGATTGGCAGCAAACTGCACACTATTTACAATAGCATCTAGTAGATGGTCAGTGCCCGTTGATGAAAAAATACCACTGTTCATGTCTCCTCCATTAAGCAAATTAAAATCAGAATCTGCATCCTGAAGATCCAAAGATGTACCATCGTTCTTACCCAACTTTTTGTTGCTTATATCTGACCCATCATTGAAAGGATTATTCTGGTTGGCATTCAATAACTTATTTTTTAAATCCACACCCAAAATATCAAATAGATCATCTCCAGATGGAGGTCGAACAAATTCTTCCTTGTATTTATCACTTTGAAATTTTGGAAAGTTCTTCCCATAATCATGATATTGGCTATCTAGCTGTGCTGAGGGAATGTTAACGGCTTGAAATAAATTATTTTCAATTCTTTCCTTCCTTTCTTTTCTCTGAGGCACATCAATTTGAGAGCATTTGATGTTTTTATGGTGATGTCTGAGACTGGAGCATTCAGAAAGACTGGAAGTCAAGTGATCCATTGAATAGGACACAGACATGTCTGTTTTAGAAGCATTTAGGTCATTCATACTAGGACGTATGCAGGAGACGTCAAAGTTAGAGGGGATGTGCACAGTCGGAGCAGAACATAAATTCGAAATTGATCTTACATGATTGCCGGCTCTATCATGAACTTGACTGGTAGAACTTAAGCTTTCTCCATTTACTCTCAGCTGAGATGTAACAATCCCACTAGATGAGCAAGTACTGTTAACATGCTCTTGGTGGACATCTGACAGGATCTTTTTTTCCATCAATATTAAATTGCTACAATTTACAGATGACGAGCTAACAATAAGTTGTTCATCCAACCCAGAATTTTGGCTGCACAAAGATGCCTGCTGATTCAGCCAAAGCCTAGGATTTGAGGGGATAACCGCGCCTCCTGTTTCTCCATTATCAAGATGGCTACTGAAAGAAAGGAGTGCTTTCATCATTGGAGTTGCATTTGGTTGGCTGAGGCCATTTTCAGATTTAATCAGATTTGGGACGAGTTTAGCTGTTCGGAGCATCAAATTACCTTGTAGGCTATTTTCTGTGTGTCCAATTAGAGAATGAGAAGGCTGATCAACAAGCTCCAAATCCTGAGATGAGATGCCCAATTGGTTGCAGCTTTCAGCGACAAAAGGAACAGATTCCTTCACCTTGTAACTCCCAGACACACCAGCAGAAACAGATTTTCCTAGACATACAGATGACCCACTCACTGAAGCAGAATCTTTTGAAGTGTAATTTTCAGACAGCAGAACACCAGGAATACATCCTAGCTGGAGAATCAAGCTCCTCACATCAGTCACAAAAGCCATATTTTCCATCATCTGAGAAGGCGAAGGTGGCAAAAGTTTCAGGAAAAAGAAATAAAAATAAATAAATAAATTATGAAACTGAGACCAGATTGAGACTATGACAACATATGAAGTACTAAAATGAAAAGAGAACATATATAATATAAATACAAATAGGATACCCATCAGTCAATGTTATTGCCAGCTTAATGTGCAAAAGGGAAAATTTAACAAATGGATTTTCTTTTCTGCTTGGTGTTTCAATAAAGGGAAAATTTTCAGGACTAATGACTAAGGTGTTGCAACCCAAATCACTAGATCACAAGAGAATATCATGCATTCCAAGCTTTGGCATAGGTAGATTAGCAAACACTTCATACCCACATCCAAGCAACATATCGTGAAAGAATTGACATGCCAGAATAATTGAATAAAGACCTTCTATTTCAAGTTTTAGAATGAGATAGAAAAAAAGGAACAGTCAAGAAATAGTTGACTTACTGCCAATGATGAACCCAACTGAACAACACCATGATTGATGACAGGAATAACTGCAATAGTCTGCATGCAGATTATATATTCAGTAATTCAGACAGAAGTCATCTAACCAATCAGCAAAGCTACAAGTTAGCATTACCTTAATGCCAGACAAAAATTGTTGGCAGACCTCATTTTGAACCTGGAAGAAGATAATGAATCCAGAGTCATATCAAGTTCAGAACCTTCAGTAGTAATACAAATCTTTATGAAACTCCCCTAGCTATTTGAAAGTGGCTGACACCATAAATAAGAAATTTCAACACAAAAAAAAAATGGCATCCTTGGTATCTATTATCATTCAGCTTTGCCATTTTAAGTCGCTAGAAACAACTAGATACATAAACAATAAATGTTGGATTCTAAATGATGAAGCCATTAAAGCCAAATCTATCTTTCTTTTTTCGTGTTTGAGATAGATTCTGGTGTTAGCTCCTGCATAAAGAAAATAAATAAATAAAATTTAGGACCCTTATAATATAATTGTAGAAAAGGACAATCTGAACCCCAGAAAATTAATTTCAAAGACTGACCCTAGTGTAGTCAAGGTCTTTCCTTGGAATTATTTGCCAAAAAAGGCGATACAATTTAAATTTTTGGCCCAGGTCCTTAACCAAAACCTTTTCACCCTTTTGATGGATAATTAGGAATTTCTAGAAGATGATTGAAACATTTGGAACATACACATGAGCACCGGAAATACTACTTCAAAGGTAAGTGGATTTCTATATGAAAAAAGGCAAGTCTGAACACTCCAACAGATTCCATTCCAGAAGTGGGAATACATTACTTCTGTTCAGTGGGAAATTAGCGGAACACAAACGTAGGTTTTTGAAGTTTACACAAAACATAACATTTATACCTTAAAAACAATTGTAGATATTTAGAGGCAACAGACCAAGTCCTTGTAACATTCCAAACATTTAAAACTCTCAGTGAGGAACTGTTGTTCCCAAATTGAAGGGGAAGAGGATTGAAGGGTTAAATTGACACCAAAGCACACGTTTATGCATTAGATGGGATAAAGACAAAATGGGGCAAAGCAACATTTAGGACATCCTAATGAAATGAGACATAAAAATTACAGTATTGATATGCCAGCACCTTGTAGAATTACCCAATCTATAATATACCTCTAGTGGATGCATTTCTTTAGCATAGTTCTCTGGAAGAACCCACATATGATTGCCAGTAAATGCAGACCTTCCAACTAGTCTGTAATACAAAATTGTTGTAATAGTTATGCCCAAGCAGACAGAGAAAGTGCCAGAAAGTTACAAAGGTAAATGTAGGAGGGAGAGAAGAATATGGGAGGAGGGGAAAAAAGAAGAAGAAGAAGAAGAGGAAAGAAAGAAAGAACGAAAGATGAAACATAATCATACCCTTCTCCTACAACATTTACATGGCTATCCATCATCATTTTGTTTACAAGAGAACCAATTTTGTCCTCTGCTTGATCACCAACACATGGTATTCGAGGCTCAGTACAAGCCCAGGAAGCTTCCCACCCTTCAAATGGAAGAGCTGAGCTCTCAATACGGGAAAGCGCGGGAGGCCAGAACACGGCATGGGTTCATAATAGCATTCTTCCCAAATTAAAAGCCTGATCAATACAACATGTACCAAATTTATATTATCATACATGAATGGACACATTTCTCACAGTCTACGAGAACTGGTAATAGAAAAAGCAAAGACTCCTACCAGAGTTTGACAATCACCAAAATAGAGCTACAGATCTAAATATCATACCTCTCGATACAAGATGAGTACAGGGAGATTTCATATTTTTGTTCAAACAAAAAAATAAGGGTATATGAACGGAAAGACAAATTCAGAAGCACTAGTACTGACAGGTAGACGGCATGGCAGAAGAGTCGTCAAACTAAGACAAATCTACTTTCTTTTGACCAGATTCCGTAAGACAAGGCAGAACCAACCAGACATATAACTCCAAAAACAGAAAATAAAAGACTTCAGATTACAATGCAAAAAGAGACAGCAAGAGGCAATAAAGCCGTGGCATGTCATATCATATATTACAAAGGTACCAATCCTTGAAGATTAATCGCTTAACTAAGCTCAGTGACACCAAAACTAACATTCATATTCTATTGGTTTCAAGATTAAATAAGAAGGACGAAAAGGAACCCAAAAACAGCATTAGTAACTAAGATAGATTCGTGCTTGAGAAGTGCTAATAAGTTCCAGTATCTAACTATTAGTCGTTTCTTCCCTCTATTTCTCGATACCAAACAGAAGTGTGAAAATTTTAAAAACAATGATCAGATTTTGTGCAAATAGACATTGAAGCAAAAGAAAAAAACGGAGAATTTAGAAATCTCTCCCTCTTCTCAATACTCAAGCCAACCAAACAAAGATGAGCAAAAAATTAATACATTTTACAGCAATCAAACAGAATTGGATTAAGTGGTAACAGTATGCAGTATAAATCACCAAAAACAGGACGGTGAACGTACTTAGGGTTTTCGCAGCCGATCTTCCAAAAAACGGCATAAGACCATTGATTGACGCCACAGAGCGTCTTCAAAGCTTCTTTCAACAGATAACCCATGCCTCAAACTCTAATCAAACAGTCAGTCAAGAATACTCGACACCGCAGGAAAAGACAGATATAGAGAGAGACGGATATATGTCTAAAAAGAGAGAGAGAGTCGTAAACTCAGTGCCGGAGACCGTGCATTTTCCGGCGAATCAGCGCTTGGTGCCTAACTTCCACGGCACGACCCTCGTCCAGCCTGTTTAGTCCTGAGCCCCCCACTCCTCTTCCTTTCTGGATCCAAATTCCTGCGATCATTCTCTGGCAGCCCATTCTACAGAGAGAGAGAGAGAGAGAGAGAGAGAGTAGCAAGAGAGTGAAAGCCGCTCTAGAAGCAGCAAGAAAACAATCTCCAAGCTCAACCTAAAACTATCCCACAAGCTATGAGCTCGTAGTTGGCGATGATTCTCGCCATTTCTGATTTCAGCTTGAATATGGAAATATACAAGTATATATTGGCAAGTGTATGCTAGTGACGATACAGAGATGTGCTGGAGCTTCCAGGTTCTCTGATTCTCCCTGAATCTGTGTGTTCAGCTCAATCTAGAGATAGAGAAAGAAACGGGGCGTTGGATGGCGAGGTCGTCTTCACCGGTTACCTCTACTCTCCAGATGAGAAAGGGGGCTGCGCTAAAATGCGCCCACGTTTATCATCGAGCAGTGGTGCCAGAAACAGGCACCGTTTTGCGTGGATTTACAATTGAGCCATTCACTGATTATTGTCGGTTTCGAGGTTTTCGTGGAATGAGTTTCGTACTCGCTCTGCTCGGTCTCTCTCTCTAGTCTTAACGCCTTGCCTAGGCCTAGCAACGGATTATTAAAGTAATTAACGTGTTAATTACTTTTTTAAAAAAAATAAGAAACTAGATTTATTTTTCATCGTTTCTTTAATTACTAAATCAAATTGTAACAAAAATTAAAATTTTTATATACATAATTAATTTCACGAAATTGTGAAATTAAAATTTTAGTACTTGAAATTTTCTTATTCTTAATTTGACCTTCTAAATATGTGAAATTGAGTTTTTCTAGATTTATTCAATTTAATTAATCATGTGTTTGACTAAGACATTTCTAAATATTTAGAATACTTTTCAAATTATTCCAAAAATTACATAAATTATTTGATTTCCAAGTAAATATTCTTCCAAGTTTAAAAATTTTTTGGTTTGCAAAATTAACATGCTCTTGAATTATCTAAAAATAAATATACTATTTTTTATTTTCATTTTTGGTATTTTGAGGTGGGGGAAGGCAGTGGGGGGGCCACAGACATTACGCAGCCTTCTTCAGAGAAATATTTGTTTGGATGTAAAAAGGGTGGGGGGAAGGTGAAGTTGGAGGGAGTTTGCGATAGTGGGAGGTTGCGGTCGTGATGACGTCAAGCGTTATTGCCCTCGTGTTTTGGGGGAAATTACGTTTATGTCAGGGCTTACAGCTTTGCTCATGTGCGCTCGGGACCAGATAAGAAAAGATTATTCATCATTGTGTCCGAATGGGACTCGTATATCCGACCAAGGGGATGTCCGTTCCTTGGTCAATTCCGTAACCACATTTCATTCAAATAATTTTCTTAATAAAATCCCTGAATTAGAATATTTTATATCACTGTTTACCGACATTTGAATTTCAATCGAAAATAAGAATATATTTCTCTTTTCTATCATAACATTTAGTACCACACTGCATAATATTATTTTCAATAAATTTAAATTTAATATTATGTTAAAATTAAAAAATCATAATTAGAGATATAAAAATTTAAAAATATAATAACTTACATAATTTAGTATAATTAGTTTGTATTTATTAAAAATAATAATTATATTATTATAAGATTAAGCTCTTTCTCTCTAAATGGCTGCATATCTTATAAGTATATTTATAGATATTTGAAAAATTAATACAAAACTCTCTCTTTATAATTATTCTAATCTTTAATTTGTAGCCTGATCTTATCTCTAATAGAATAGATAATATTTATTAAAAAATTCTTAACAATTTGAATTTATCATTGAAGTTTATCGTTATTTATTTGTTCCTTGTTTAATTAGATTAACTAATTAATGATTAAATTTTATACTTATGGCTCACTTGGAATTAATAATTTTTGAAGGAAAAAATAAAAAAAATAAGATATGAATTTTTATAACTTCAAATTTTTGGTTTTTTTGGTGGGTTATTGGTAATATTAAAAAATTCAATTTTCTTTTTCAAACTCTAAAAAGTTTACATTTTTAGGGATAACAAGAATAAACTTACTGTTTCGTCACATCAAATAAAGGGGAGAAATATGCTTCCATTTTAAGTCAAACACAAGAAATTAGGTGACATGCCTGGGTAGTCAAGTGCAAATTAAATATCTCAGCATACTCTAATAGAAAATTCCCAACAGTTTAATGTTTTGAAAGTTATTACTTTATTTAAACTAAAGGACAATAAAAGATGTGATTTATGAGAATCTATCTTAATTTAGTTGAAAGTCTTGGAACGAACATTTACACGTTCAACGGTAGTTGTAGATTCACATCAACTGACGTTATCTTTCTCCTAAATACATATATATATAGTTGACTGTTTGGGAAAATGATAAAGTTATTCGTGATCTATGGGTAAAGTGTTTAGGAGAAAATGCTTAATTATTCTGTTTTTGTAACTAATCAGGGATTAATTAATTACCATCGAGCCAACTTTTGTCCTTTAAGGCTTATTATTCTCTTTTTGATATTATTAAATGTGCACAATTACTCGTCCTCCCTGTTCAAATTTGTCACGCCCCGAACCCCGGGCCCGTGACCGGCACTGGGATCCACCGACCCCAGTAAGCCTCAACAAACTAGTCGAACTCAAAATAAATAAAACATACACAAAGTGTAATAACATAACACCCAAAAATCACCCGGGATCCTGTCTGAGAGTACAAGGAAGCTACTCTAGAATACAATCAGGTAAAGTACAAAAGAGAAATGCCCGTACATCTATCAAGTCCGCTGTCGTCAACTCCCACGCTGGCACGCTAACCGAGGTGAGTACAGTCAAAAGAATCTGGAATGTTTAAAACTATGAGTCGCGAAACTCAGTGAGTATGGATGATACCTAATCTATGCATGTCAGGATACACATCATAGCACAAGTCTAAAACCTTAAGCATACAGCGATCAGTAAAACATAACAACATACACTCAAGAATGCTATCAGTCAACATCAAATCACATCACTGAACTCAGGCCTACCCCACACTAGACGCTACGGTCACCGCACTCCAGCCGAGTCTCTGCCGTCCCCTCACGGACTCAGACCGACTCCCCTACTGGACGCTACGGATCACCGCACTCTAGCCGAGTTCCTGCCATCCACAAATCCCGTCACAGCACACCACCCTCACATCCAAGTCAAACAGATATACAGCCCATATACAGTCCATGTCTCAAAACCAAAATCACATACCGACACGACTCCCCAACAGTTCACAAAACACAAAGCACATATCCCGAGTAACATATAATCAAAACACAAGTTTCAACCCACAAAATCATCATATCAGAAATCATAGTATGAAAACACAGGCATAGAGAAGATATCATCACTCACAGTACAGACGCTAAGCCAAAACGAGAGTCCCGAGTCACCTAACCCGACTCAGTGATCCGAGTGTGCCCCTGCCTGCGAATCTGCAATCAAAATCACACAAAACCATCACCAACGCCAAAACCGGCACAAGAAACAGGCTCGGTAGCCTCAAACCGGACTAAAATCCCAAACTGGCCCCCTGGCACGCATCTCGAGGCAACCCGACCTATCACCAGAACCTACGCGACTCACTGATACAGAACAAATCTGCTTAACCACCCTTAACACTATGGAACTAGCCTCCACAAAACTCGAACCGCAACGAACCGCCCTCCAAAACCCTAGAACCGGCTTAGCCCGGTCTAAAACTACCTCCA